AGAGCTAGGAGTGCACATGTGGCCTTCTAACTGTGTAAAAACAAACAAACAAAAAGCAACACCCCCCCCCAAAAAAAAAACCCACAACCAACCAACACCCGAACAGAAACCCCATAAATAAACCTTATCTTTGTTAGTCTATTTTTGTTTGAAGTGATAAGAAATTTGATTGTGAGTGAGTAGGTGTTTGCTACTCTCTCTGCTGGTCTTTTAGAAACATTTAAAGGCCAGTGCTGATTTAAGTACTCCAGTAAGACCTGGATTTGAAAAACCTTGTTGGGCATGATGGCGGTTTTTCCCCTTCCCCATCCTCCTGGTTTGTGTATCAGACTGATCTCAATTGATGGAAGCTATCCAATGGTCAGGGAGTAGACATTGCATACAGAAAATGACGTGCCAGAAGTTGGGGTTCACATTTTTTAAGGGGTTATAAGCTGTATCTTGCTACCCTGTCCAGTTGGTAGAAGTGGTGGGAATCTGGGCATTCAGTATGTGGGGCAGGGAACTTAGTATGATTGTAAATGCAATGTTGAAAGCTCAATCTTTGTTCTCCCTTAGTGTCCTCTGTGCTTTCGCTTCAGGGTTGTATCTGTCTCATGAAATACTTGTCAGTGTAAGGTGTTAAGCAGATGGGAACTCCTTATTCCTAGCGTAGGAGGTACCATTTAACCCACACTCAATTAAGTAATTTTTGCTTGTTTTTGTTTGAACCTGCCTAGCAATTTGTTGGTATTAATGGCTGAGGTGTGCCTGAAGGTGGGGCATAACGGACCCATTCTCTTCCTGCCTCTTTTTGTAGAGTCCAAGTACTGGAGCCCACCAGCTGGGAAGGTAAGCTACTGAGTAGCAGAGTCAAAGGGCTTTTATAGAAATCACAGCTGAATATTTAAAGCTGACTTCTTACTGTAGGAGGGATTTGGTACCACAATCTGCCTTCCTCTGAAAGTGAACGCCACCCCTTTGTTGTGAGACTTCTTTCAAGGAAGATGGTGATGAATAGAGGGAAGACTTGGTTGAAGGGTGACCAATATGAGCAAATTACAGGCAAGAACCTATAAAATACCAGTACAAAAAAAGTTACAATTAAACCAGTTCTCTATCAGAAGGCTTCACTTCCTCCGAGCACTCACTTGGTGTATCCCACAGGGTATACAAAATATACGTCAATTGTTACAGTCATTGTACTGATGTACAGTACAACTGTACTGCATGGTACTGATGATGTTGTGTCAGTATCTGCCTAGAAGGAACTTATGCCTTTCCTTACTCCTTCTGACTACATTTTTGATAGAGAAAAAATCTATTCACAATGCAGTGTTTAACAGTGTTGGAGTGGCAAGTGAATCTCATGTTAAAGCTTCTAAAAAGGATAGCTCTTACTAGAGTTTTGTTGTTGTTATCTCCAAAGGCCTCAGTGTGGTTACTGTTACTAAAATGTATCATCATGGCTTGATTTATATCTGTTAATGGTGTCAGTTAATGTTTGGTGCAACACATGGGAATGCATGTGTGAACACAATAAAAGAAAAAGCAGTGCTTCACTTGTGGCATAAAGAAGCAAAACATTTGAGATAAATAATTTAAGCCATTTATGTGAGCTGTAGAGAAGGCATATTTGCTGACAAATAGGGGACAGATAATCTACAACTCGTAAATTCCTGTCCTGGCTTACTGTGACCTTGGGTAAATCATTATGCTGGCATTATCAAAAGAATTTAGTTGTAGAGTGCATTGAATGAGAATTGAGCACTCGCATGCTCTTTCTTATGAGTATAATAGGCAATTAGACCAAAACAGATACTGACATCTTATGGAGGAGGAATCCTTGTTAATAAAATTGTGTATTAGTACTGATAATTTTGTTTCTGAGCTTTCATTAAAAGATGCACATTGATATCTCTCAGTTGGTCTCTGGAAGGCATGTTTTGTTTGAGGAGCATTTCAATAATTTTTATCAGCTGTGAATTATTGCTCTTGTATTTATGGGAAGGCTGGTTAAAATGAATGGATCAGCATAGCCGATATGCTTCTGACTATTCCTGTTGTGAAGTGTTTGTAATACAGCCAGGATTGCAGCTGAGTGTCTACATAGTCCTCTATCAAGGGAAGTTAAGTGACAGTATACTGTAGGTGAGTACCTGAGGTATGTACAGTACTGGAAGTCAGTACATGTGCAGTTCTACATGTGTGTACATGTGTATGCTTCCCCAGCATTATGGAAATATGGCATTTGTCCTATGACAACTACATCTTGTCCTAGGACCTGAGCCATTCTGCTCTAGCTTCTACACCTTCCCCTCTTCCCTCCATCCTTTAATAGCTTGTGTAGTCTTTTAGTTTCACGTAAGTTCAAGCTCCTATGCAGTATTTGAACAGCTTTTGCTATAGTTAGAGCCCTGTTTGATCTGAGTTCCCTTTTGTAGCCTCAAACATACCAGTGTTACTTGTTACAGCAATGTTCAACCCAAAGTACAATGAAACATGATGAACAGAAGGGATGGACTTCGGCTGTATAGTTGCGTTGCATAAACTCTTATTTTTATTTCAAAATTGCACCTAAAATTGCTTTAGGGGGCTAGTCTATCTGTGTTTAGCAAATGCATTTGCAAATACCTAAGATTAAAGCTTTCATTTATGGAAGAAGAGAAACGATCCTGCAGTCTGACAAAGATACAGTAACAGTATAGTATCATGAACTCCTTACCTTGCCTTCAACAGGTAACAAAAACCGCAGCTTATTCTGTGCCCAGTGGGCCTAAACAAATCTGCATAGTTTTGCTTTTCTCTTTACTTCTCTTCTCCTGGCCCTACAGTTCTCATGAGAAGAGACACTGTGTTGTAACTGGTTTGTAATTCTGCATACTGCTGGCTGTTTCTCCCTGCATCTCCATGAAGATGTTCTCTGGAACTGCCTTCTCAGTGCAGGCACTAATTTTTCACTGGATCTGTAGGAATCTTTAGGGGCTTAATTGTCATAGAGGCTGTCTTGAAGTTGGACCACCTAGCCAAAAGATTTAGGAGAGAGGGAGGAAATGCGTTGTGATCATACAAGCTGTTTCCATAGGAAAAAAAAAAAGACCAAAATAATTAAGTCTTAGTGATAACGTTGTGCTTTGTTTATCTGGTGCTTGAAATACATTTGTATGTGCTACTTGAAAGCAGAGGAGAAGTCATTGGGGAAATGCCTCTGTCCCTCTGGGTGGGGAGGAAATTATTTGTTTGTCTGTAGAAGGGTAGTGTTTTCTGCTTATCTACCTGGTCTAGCGTAGCTGCTTTTTTTTAATGAGCTTTGAGAAGCATGTTTGAGTTTCCAGGTGCTTCCTTCTTCAGAATCACTCCTTCCTGGTTTCTGTTGTTGGTTTTGCTTTGTTGGTCTACACTTGCAGTTTGTTTTTGTTTCTCTTTTTCTTCTCTGCTACAGGTTTTTTTTTTCCTGTCCTGTTATTTTTTTCTCAATCTACCTTTTCTGTGGTTTATCTAACTCTTGCACATGTCTCTTCTTCACTCAAGAAACCTTGCTAGGATGGTTGCCTGTTGGCTTGGCTAAACCACACATCACTGCAGCCCTGGTTACTACTTGAAACAGTTCAACAAAACACAAAAAGCTTATGCCAGTGGGTGGTGGTTCAGAGTGCACAAAGATGCTGCTTCTGCCAGTACATATAGTAGTGGCTTCCACAAGAAAGGTGAAGAAAATGAAACAGCTTTCATTTTAGTTGCAGTCTGCACATACACAGTAGCATGGAGCTTTGCTCAGTCACTTTTTTTTTTTCAGGAAGGTTTCATTCCTGACATTGTAGATTTTTCCTTCTATTAAAAGCCCATCTTTCAGTTTGGGAAGGCACCCAAAGCAGTTTCCTTGTGATTAAGTGTTTTGTAACCCATCACCCAAGTTTCAACAAAGCCTGCAAGTGTAACAGACTTCGTTTTCAGAACAGTAATGTGAAACTTTGACAAGGTACTATTCAGCATGGCTAACAGCTGTGTAAATCTGAAAGAAGAGAGATTTGAGGGAGAAAATGAAAAATATTTATGCTGACAGTGTTTTCTGCACCAATTAAGTGCTCAGGAAGAAGTTGATGTGATATTTATTTAAAAAAAAAAAAGCTGATTTGTGACATGTCACCTAATGGAGCCTGAAATCTCTGTAACGGTTACTGTATTATTACAGTTTCTAAAGTTTCTGTGTTTCCATCTGGATAAATATCTGCTGTATAATCTTTCCCTCTTTTTATATAAGTGGATTTCAGTCTTCCGAACCCTGCATGGCCATTCAAATAATACCGGGAAGGCTTTCTTCTCAAGCTTTCTTCTGAAGGCAGAGGAGGAGCAGGAAGGCTCCTCTATCTTTGACTGAAAAAGTTGTCAGTATGTATTACGTAACCTGTCACTGTGCTTAACTAGGACTATTATATTTACATTTTTCAAATGCTGGTAAGCCCTATTAAGGTAAGACATGTCAATATAAGGTGAAATACTGCTTCTGGGAGGTTCTAACACACAATGCTCAGTTTCCAACTTAAAAGCTTTGTATGGCTGAAACCACCTCTTAGATTTGACACTTTTCTTCAAAATCTTTAAAATCCCGCTTTATAAACTGTATGTCCTCTTTTTTTCTGCCAAGAAAAACAAACTAGATTCTGTAGCTGCAAGAGAACAGTGTTGCAGAAGAGTCTGGAAAAGAGATTATTCTTGCTCCATTTTTGTCATCCTTTTCCCTTTCCGTTGATTGCATGAAGTGAACTGGGTAGTGATAACCAGCTGCAGTAGGTGAGCAAGGACTTGGATCTTCCTCCTCCTTGGAGTCCCTGAGTAGGTTTGGTGCTAGCAGAGCAGGAGGAGAATGGCAAAGTAGTAGGAGAACATTCTGCTGTGTTCATTTACTTAGGGACTAAAACAAGCTTGTATGTCTTCAGAAAGCTGGTGTACTGGTCATACTATTGAGAATGTAGCAGCGATTATATCCCTGGATGTCTGATGGGCTTTGTCATGTTTTCAGGATGATAGAGGGTGGTAAGTGCCTATCTGTGGTGCTTTGCTAAAAAGAATACTTTTGGTATTCAGGCCCTGCACAGTTGATTGCAAGACACACTTTTTGTAAAGTATAGTTTAAGTTGCACCCGATACAGTGCAGTGAGCAGCTACCAGGCAATTCTGAAAAGAGCATACATCCTAGCAAATGATGATCCATCTTGGGAGTCTGAATTTTCTTTTGGTCAGCAAGATTGATAGAGCTTGAGCAAATGTTTCTGAAGGAGTCAATCCTTTGTGTATGAATTGCATCATTCTACCAGTCTACAGTAGAGAAACTGTCATTGTCCTGTGATGTCAGTGAGGTGGTAGTGCATATACATGAGTTGTCATACATATCAGTGCAGCGTTTGGATGTATCTGAGTTGATGCTGCAGGAGATGCATGGTTTCCCAAGCTCAGCCTGCCTTTGTGCTTGTTTTATTTGGGCGTGAATTCTGTAATGAGGTTGTCATGCAGCCAAACAGGAGGAAGAAGAGGTGGCTTCTGTTCCAAGTTTACTAACAACCTGCTTTTTGTCACTGGCTGGAGTTGGCAGGCTAGTGCCACTTTCTTCAGAGAGCTCATGTTCAATACTATGGGGATTTCATGTAACTAAAAGCCCTTGCATTAAACTGAAAACTTGAAGGAAAAGATTGTATGTTGGAACTAGTAATACTCACTGTCCTGTTAAAGAAGTCTGAATCCTATAGGGTAAACCTGGATACTGTTTTAACATAATACAACAGTTAACCTTCCTGAGGTTCTCCACTATATACTGGAATGTTGTGTTGTGTTCCCCCCTCCCCTCAATAATACAGATTTCAACTTTATTAGCATTAGTTCTAATTAAATTAATTTATTTTAAATTACACTTTAGGATTTTATTAGTATTTTATTAGTATTACATTATGAATACATGAATGGCACTTCTTCTGCCCTCTACACGTTTTTCTCAGGGTGGAATCCTGTATTTTCCATTCCCAGAACAAGCCTTGGCTGCAGTGCCTATGTAGCTGTTTTAGGTACTCAGTGGGTCCACCTGGTGTTGAAGTCCCTGGTGATTCTGCTTTAGCAGTTTGAAAGGATTGAAAATGAAAAAAAAAAAAAAAATTTGCTATCCCTAAACTGTAGGGTTGTATACAGGCAGGAATGATTTGCTTGCAAAATTCACATTGAGTTGTGCACAGTTATGTCCTACTGTTTGTGTGCAGTTTTGTCATAGAATCATAGAATCATTACGGTTGGAAGAGACCTCCAAGATCATCGAGTCCAACCGTCAACCCAACACCACCATGCCCACTAAACCATGTCCCTAAGCACCTCATCTACCCGTCTTTTAAATACTTCCAGGGATGGTGACTCAATCACTTCCCTGGGCAGCCTGTTCCAATGTTTAACCACTCTTTCAGTAAAGAAATTTTTCCTCACATCCAATCTAAACCTCCCCTGGCGCAACTTGAGGCCATTTCCTCTTGTCCTTTCGCCAGTTACTTGGGAGAAGAGACCAACACCCACCTCGCTACAACCTCCTTTCAGGTAGTTGTAGAGAGCAATGAGGTCTCCCCTCAGCCTCCTTTTCTCCAGGCTAAACAACCCCAGCTCCCTCAGCTGCTCCTCATAAGACTTGTTCTCCAGACCCCTCACCAGGCTCGTTGCCCTTCTCTGGACACGCTCCAACATCTCAACATCCTTCTTGTAGTGAGGGGCCCAAAACTGAACACAGTATTCGAGGTGCGGCCTCACCAGTGCCGAGTACAGGGGCACGATCACTTCCCTGCTCCTGCTGGCCACACTATTTCTGATACAGGCCAGGATGCCGTTGGCCTTCTTGGCCACCTGGGCACACTGCCGGCTCATGTTCAGCCGGCTGTCAACCAACACCCCCAGGTCCTTTTCCGCCAGGCAGCTTTCCAGGCACTCTTCCCCAAGCCTGTAGCGCTGCATGGGGTTGTTGTGGCCCAAGTGCAGGACCCGGCACTTGGCCTTGTTGAATCTCATACAGTTGGCCTCGGCCCATCGATCCAGCCTGTCCAGGTCCCTCTGCAGAGCCTTCCTACCCTCGAGCAGATCAACACTGCCGCCCAACTTGGTGTCGTCTGCAAACTTACTGAGGGTGCACTCAATTCCCTCATCCAGATCATTGATAAAGATATTGAACAGAACTGGCCCCAATACTGAGCACTGGGGAACACCACTCGTGACCGGCCACCAACTGGATTGAACTCCATTCACCACAACTCTCTGGGCCCGGCCATCCAGCCAGTTTTTGACCCAGCGCAGAGTCCACCTGTCTAAGCCGTGAGCCGCCAGCTTCTCTAGGAGAATGCTGTGGGAGACGGTGTCAAAGGCCTTACTGAAGTCCAGGTAGACCACATCCACAGCTTTTCCCTTGTCCACTAGGCGGGTCACCTGGTCATAGAAGGATAGTGCTGCCATAGAACTATTGTTGCAGATTATTTGCTCATATGTTTTGCTTGTGCATTTACAGCATTATTTTTTTGTGTTAAATACAGGATTTTCCTCTTTGTTTCAGTATGCAAGGATCCACCCTACAAAGTTGAAGAATCTGGGTATGCTGGTTTCATTCTACCAATTGAGGTTTACTTCAAAAACAAGGTATGGAATCGCATACTTTTCATTTAAAAAAAAGAAAATTAAAAAAAATCATGTGGAAGTCAGGGTTTTCTAAAGATTTACAGTTTAATTCATAAACTCACTTAAAAATTAGGTTTAAAGCTATCTCTGTCAGTGCTGTTCCTCAATTCAAAGTCACTGTAACTTTCAGAAATGCGTAATTGTATTTAGTAGATAACTGTGAAATTAGGATTACCTGATAAAGAAGTTGAATGTAATTATTCAGAAGAATTGGTAGCCCTACTCAGAAGTGGACAGACTTTAAATAATGCTTAAAGAAGGCTCGAGCCACTTAAACTTTAAGAAAGGAAACCAATCTTGATTATTTTGATTTCATAATTAACTCATTGTTCTATTTTAGTATTGCCAATCTTTCTAATTTGTTCAGGTTTTGATCTTTCAAAACAGTCTTTCTTTTTTTTTGTTAATCCTGCATCCTCAGTCTGAAAAAACATTCTTTTAGACTGTATGTGAACATTGTTTCTACTCAATTCAACATTACCAGGGGGCACAGTTTAAAAACAACGCAGTGCTGTTCTACAAAGCTTGTGTTATTGTGGTATCTCAAATTCTGAGTCTAAGTAAATGCTGTACCTACTGTGGGTCTCTTCGATAGCAAATACAGAGATTTCCTTTAATGTATGTAACAGGGTCTGTATTACTAGTAACTTGTTCAGATAAAAAGAATTGGATTTGGGGGGAATTAAAGAGCAAAAAGCTTGCATGGTTTAAGGTACAGTACCTTAATAACTGCAATATTTTAGATTCCTTTTGTATGTCATGTGCCTCAATGGTGCTGCTGTTATACTTCGCATGTGCTTCTAAGACACCTGGTGTTTATTTTATATTACCAAGATGTAGTTTAACATAATTTTTTTTAATCAAGTCAGAGTTACATCTTTTAACGTGTTGAATGCTTGGTGAAAAACTAAAACTGAAAGAAAATAGAAATGCATAGTACAGGACTTTTGGTGGAACCTTGGTCACTTAAAATTTGTGTTAGAGTGCAACTTTGTTAGCTGTTTATGCCTTCAAGTAGATATTCCAGTGTTTTTTTGTCTTTCACAGAAAGCTCTGTCAAGGTGTGAGATGTGGATAATTCTGCTCAAGCACTTTCTAAGTTGTAGGTTTCGAACAGGTAATTCTGAAATGTTCCCTGTATCAATCTGTGAAGAGCAGGGCTTAGTCTACCTTGTTTGCTGTTGGAAAAGGAAACAGAACTGCCTCAGTGAGTTGACTGGCTTTTTTGGTATGCTTTTTAGCTCTGTCTCCTTTAGGGAAGCAGTTTTGATTCATTCAGGAAATCTAATGAAAAGCAGCCCATTCTCTTTAACTTCTCTGTTAAGAGCTCATCCCAAAACTGGGCAGACCAAGTCAGAAGACATTGAGTCAATCATTGAAGCATCTCTATAGAAAGCTTCCTGCCCAACATTTCTTTTTTTGTTTTCCACTCAGACTTTTGGCTGCCTTTGCTGACTGTGGAGACCTGCAAGTCTCAGGAGTTCTCCAGCAGGAGTTGTGGCTTAGACTGAGATCAAGAGGGCAGCAGTGATTACAACTCACCTCACCCTCAAGCAGCATGTGGAATTAGGAAGTTTGCAAACATCCCTCACCCCTATTTTGGTGTCATGGAATACGACAAGCAGAAGCAGTTGGACTGTGAGTCAGCTAGCTCTTCACACAGCTGCAGCAGCATGCCCTTCCCTGGGG